AAACTGAAACGTTTTTAACTCCTCATAGTTAAAAGACTGCAGGCTGACTATATCTCCAGTCTCTGAGTTTATGTTTACCATTGTGGATAACGGCAAGGAGTTGCTGTTACTTTCGATAACGGAATAGCTCACCTGGGCATTTTGATCAATGTCTGCATCAACTGCAGCTACTCTTTTTAGGACAGCTCCAACCGGACTATTCTCTTTTAAATAAACATTGACCAGACTGTCTGAAAAACGAGGCGAGTTGTCATTGACATCTGAGACATAAACAGTAAGATCGCTGGTGCTTGTGAGTGCAGGGACTCCATCATCTGTAGCTGTGATAGTTATATTATAATGTGAAGCACTCTCTCGGTCTAGCTGTCCGTCTACTACCAGAGAATAATAGTTTTTATAATTTGTTTCCAATTTAAAGGGGCTGTCATTTTTAATATCGCAGTGAACTACTCCATTTTTACCTCCATCTCTGTCCAGAACTGACACAAGTGCAACAGCAGTACCAAGTTTTGCATCCTCTTTTACTCTATTAATTAACGATGTTACAGATATTTCAGGAGTATTGTCATTTAAATCCACCACCTCTATTAGTACTTTACACTGTGCAGCCATTGGAGGATACCCTTTGTCACTAGCTTGCACGCGGATTTCAAAAGCCGGATGCTCTTCAAAGTCAATCTTCCCTTTAACTGTTAACAACCCAGTGAGCTCATCAATTTGAAATATTTCCAAAACATGGTCTTGGTCTTTGCTGCTCAGGGAATATGAAATCTCCCCGTTTGGTCCTTCATCAGCGTCTGTTGCCGTTACTGTTATTACTGATGTCCCAAGCCGTACATTTTCAGTAATACTTGTTTTATACAATGATTTTGTAAAAACTGGAGTGTTATCATTTACGTCCAAGACACTGATTATTATCTGTGATGTTCCGGATTTTGGAGGTGTCCCTCCGTCTACAGCAGTCAATGTGAGTTTTATTACAGGTTGTTTTTCTCGGTCTAAAGGTTTCTGGAGGACTAGCTCAGCTGACACACTATCTCCTTTGTTCACTGATAATGAAAAATGGTCATTTTGACTCAGCTTGTACGTACTGATACCATTTTTTCCTACATCGGCGTCAAAGGCAGACAGCACAAGAAATGTAGTCCCAGGCAGCGTGCTCTCGGCTATTTCAATACTTTGCGAATTAGTACTGAAAGACGGATAATTATCATTAACGTCTAGAATATTTATATCTAAACGATAAAGCTTCAGTGGAGCATTTATCACAGCCTCGACGCTCACTGTGCATTTTGTTGCCTTCGCACAGAGCTCCTCTCTGTCTATTCTCTCACTGACATACAGAACACCAGTCTTCAGGTTTACCTCGAAATATTTTCTCTTTGATCCAGCAACGATCTGAAACATGCGGGGCTCCAAATCATGGACACTGAGGTTTAGATCCTTGGCTATATTTCCAACAGAAGTCCCCGGATTCACCTCTTCTGATATGGAGTAGGAGAGCTGTCCGGACACCGCTTCCCAGTAACAATCCAGCAGGACAAATAACACATATATCGCCACGGGACTCCTGTTAGCTGAAGACATAATCCAAACCGACGTGAAACCAACATAGAAACAAGTCTAAGGGATGTCGAGTATTGACGGAAACTATGTTCCTTTTTCTTCTAATTTGCCCACAATGTAGATGATGCCCCAGCCTTCTCTCGGTGACTCTGCGTCTCTTTGTGTCAAAGCCCAACAAGACATCATCACGCTCTTAATCTGGGAGGGGCCTCGGGATTTAAATGAACTCTCTCTGTGTTATGGTCTACAGTGCCCCCGTATGGCCTTGTGGACTAATTACATTACAAACCAACAACAGCATAACACTACACAAACCATCTCTCTGTAATGATCATCTCAAAAATGAACAATTTTCAGTTTAAAGCCATGCATTTTGTGTATTTCAAAATAAGGGTTGATGTGCTCAATCAAAGGCATTTAAAGCAAACTGAAAGAATTTAATTGAAACTGAGTATTCTTGAGATTAATGAGAAACCTTCTTGAAAACGAGTCTAAGAAACAGAGTACGCCATCATAATGATTAGCGCCTAAAACCGCAAACTCCATTTATCAGTGCAATCGTTAAAGAAGAAATTATGAAATATAAAAAAAGTAAAATAAATATTACAATGTAATGTTATTGTCAACTGAGGTCAAGTTTGAACTTAACCTTTATTTGTATGTATAAAAAACAGTGCAACACAATCTGTTTGCCGGGTCAGACGAGTTCTCGTCTACAGCACCATGGACAGCGACTCGCTCGACTGGCTTGCAAGTAATGACAGATGAAAAACGTCACCATTTTCAAAGAATTCAGTAGGAGAAAATGTACAAATTCAGTTTCCACAAAAACAACCTGTGTAAAAACATAAACAAAGATACAAATAAAGAAGGGATGGCAAGTAAAGAACGACTACATATACAAATGAAAACAACGCCAGCGTTAGGTAACATTTAGTATATAGTCTAAATGTGTAGGCCATCATAAACGTGCTGCTCTTACCTTTTCTTTATTAGGTAAAGTTTGAGTTCTGGTAAAAGTGTCTCCTCC